CCCTTTCGGTACGAGCGTATAAGAAAACTGTAGTACCTTTCATGCTCAACGCAGCCAAAGCTCTCATTCCAAAACATTGGCGTTCTTATCAAATACCAACTGTAGCAGAATGGCTAGATCGGGTAGATAATTTGCGGTTGATGGAGGAACTCACCCATTCTAAAAATGATGAATATAGCGCCTTTTACAAGACCTGGGCATGTTGGCTACACTTTAAATCCTCAGATGAGTACACAGCTTTACAGTCAGTGGGAACCACTACCACCTGGCTGAAACAGATCCAGAAGCAATGACAAAAACACAATAGGTACTGTACACTGAGTTTAATGTATATGTTTACTTTAAAGCACTATCCATGCCTCCTTATAGTCTCACAAATAGGGATTTGAACATGCCCATCACCTATTAGTGACACTGAGTATCTTACTGATGTACAGGCCGCAGAACAAGAACGGATTATGTTCCCTACCTTCCTCCCCATCCCCTTAACCTTCATGCCTCCCCCCTTCCCCATAGCATTACCCTTGTTATATATGTATTTGTTGTAGTTGTTGTTGTCTAAATGTTGTCTCAACTTGCAAAATCTCAATAAAACATTTAATGTGAAAAAAGGAACTTCTAGGCACAGGTTGTGAGGCACCTTAAGCCACACCCATTAACAGGCCACAAGCCAAGTCATTCCACAGTTGTGCTGCTAAAAATATTTTTTTCACAATCACCATTACTTTACAAACAAAACACTGATAATATGAATGGCAAATTGGTCCTGAGGTAACAGGGGCTGTATTGGCAGGTGGATTTCACCACTTCAGCTGCCACCCCTATATACCCTATTTCACTTTACATTATGGGCATGCTGATTCAGCATTAGGTTATGTTTTAAATAATACATAATACATATTGTGGCAGCAGGCTGATAAAAACGTCTGGGTCTAGCCAGAATGGCAGAGATGTATATGCCAGGTTCAGATGTTATGCTAAAGGTTGTCCTTTAGGGGGGAAGTGCTGAGAGAGCTGGAGGCTTGGAGGTAACAAGCCCAGCTGGAGCTAGCTGGCTTGTTAAGACCTTTACAATTATTCCCAGCCTCCTAAGGGGCCCCACCCTAGAACCAGACTGCGTGTCTGGCGGACTGGGGAGCAATCCGCCTGTGTGTCAGGAACGCAGGCTGTTCCGGACTCTGAGGCCAGCACGGGGACAGCCCCGTCATCGGCGTCTAGTTGCTAGGCGACGGGCGGCCGTTTTCCGCAGTGCTCCTCCTCTCCTTCTCACAGGCAGTGTGACGCGACGGACGAGGCCCGGCGGCGTCCCGTTGCTAGGAGACGCTCGGGTCGGGTCTCGTCTCCGGCTCCGCCCCCAACAATTGCCTCTGCCTATTTAAACTGAGGCTGAACACTTGCTCGACGTTCTAGCAAAATAGTACGTCGAGCAAGCTATTAGGAACCCTCATCTTGAGCAGAGACCCTTTTTGACCAACCTCTGGAACCCTTGATCCTCCTGACCCGCCTCTGGAACCATTGATCGATCGAGCCAGCCTCCAGCTACCCCCAGCACCAAGGATTTGAACATGCCCATCACCTATTAGTGACACTGAGTATCTTACTGATGTACAGGCCGCAGAACAAGAACGGATTATGTTCCCTACCTTCCTCCCCATCCCCTTAACCTTCATGCCTCCCCCCTTCCCCATAGCATTACCCTTGTTATATATGTATTTGTTGTAGTTGTTGTTGTCTAAATGTTGTCTCAACTTGCAAAATCTCAATAAAACATTTAATGTGAAAAAAGGAACTTCTAGGCACAGGTTGTGAGGCACCTTAAGCCACACCCATTAACAGGCCACAAGCCAAGTCATTCCACAGTTGTGCTGCTAAAAATATTTTTTTCACAATCACCATTACTTTACAAACAAAACACTGATAATATGAATGGCAAATTGGTCCTGAGGTAACAGGGGCTGTATTGGCAGGTGGATTTCACCACTTCAGCTGCCACCCCTATATACCCTATTTCACTTTACATTATGGGCATGCTGATTCAGCATTAGGTTATGTTTTAAATAATACATAATACATATTGTGGCAGCAGGCTGATAAAAACGTCTGGGTCTAGCCAGAATGGCAGAGATGTATATGCCAGGTTCAGATGTTATGCTAAAGGTTGTCCTTTAGGGGGGAAGTGCTGAGAGAGCTGGAGGCTTGGAGGTAACAAGCCCAGCTGGAGCTAGCTGGCTTGTTAAGACCTTTACAATTATTCCCAGCCTCCTAAGGGGCCCCACCCTAGAACCAGACTGCGTGTCTGGCGGACTGGGGAGCAATCCGCCTGTGTGTCAGGAACGCAGGCTGTTCCGGACTCTGAGGCCAGCACGGGGACAGCCCCGTCATCGGCGTCTAGTTGCTAGGCGACGGGCGGCCGTTTTCCGCAGTGCTCCTCCTCTCCTTCTCACAGGCAGTGTGACGCGACGGACGAGGCCCGGCGGCGTCCCGTTGCTAGGAGACGCTCGGGTCGGGTCTCGTCTCCGGCTCCGCCCCCAACAATTGCCTCTGCCTATTTAAACTGAGGCTGAACACTTGCTCGACGTTCTAGCAAAATAGTACGTCGAGCAAGCTATTAGGACCCCTCATCTCGAGCAGAGACCCTGTGACCAGCCTCTGGAACTATTGAGCCATCGATCCAGCCTCCAGCTACCCCCAGCACCAAGGAACAGATACACTTCCCCTGACTGGACTCTCACCAAACAGCAAGTATATCTCTTCCATACTCTATACAGGGGAAGTGTTGGTGCTGCCACCTTGTGGGGAAGTCTCATATCACATCCTCTCTGCTATTCTGCTATCTGCTCCATTACTGCTGCTCAGCCATAGTTGTCAGCTGCATGTAACTCATATTGGGCTTAGTGACGTTAACTGGCTCTCTCCTCAAACACTGCTGCACCATATACCCTGGACTGTTAAATCCTCAACCATATTAGATAGACTCAAGTTCGGTCCTTAGTGAAGCAACTAAGGCATCGAACTACAAATCACAACACGGCCCCAATGCTGTATAATTGAGGGCGTGCCGATACAACACGAATCCAACTCAATGCTCCCAGGTTAAATGGTGTATGATGTGTAAGGGGTTCCGACTGCACCCACTGAATTAAAGTGTTACCGGGAACCTCCCTCCTGAACCATTTTCACTTACCTCCGCAGTTGAGATCCTACACTCGCCATCGTGCTCGCAGGAATCGTTACACTGTGTGGCAAAAGAGCAGCCTGTGTGGCAATCCACCTGTGTGGCAAAAGAGCAGCCTGTGTGGCTGTCCTCCTCTGTGGCAAGAGGACAAGGGACAAGCCTGTCTAAAAAGACTTAACACATATTTCTGTTTTGTTGTTTTTTTGCCTAATCAGTTAGCTTTAAAATGCATCACTACAAAGACAAACAAACAACATTAGCACAAATGGGGGGAAAAAAGTGTAAATATGAGTGATAAAAAGTTAAAAAAAATAAAATAAAAAAAACAGAAATGTAATAAGGTAACGGAAGAAGGAGAGGAGGATATTTCATATTTAAATTGAATGAAGGGTGAATGATCACTTTGACTCTGTGGGTGAAGGGGCTTGCACTCCAATATATCCACTCCATGCATTCTGCATACTGGACCTTCAGCTCTACTCCAACTGGACACCCACACTGGTGATCTAGTGGCAGTTCCTGGCTTTCAGTCATCCCTCTTTAATATGCAAACTTTTAGTTTATGAGGGCATTACTTTTTTTTTCATTTTAAGATTTGCAACACTATGCGGGTGCAGAGTGTTCTTGTGGTTTTTTTAATGGTTTTTTTTTGTTTTTTTCTGACTAACTATATCAGGATAGAATTATGGAAGCTGACTTTTTTTTAAAAGTACATGTATTTATAATTTGTATCCTTGCCACACTACCTAATTAACCTGGAGGTTAATGCAGGTCACCTGTACATGCTTGTTATAGATCAGTAACTTACTAGACAAGAAAGCTATAAAGGGAGTCCAGAGCTTACGCTTTCAAAAATAAGTCACCTTACTTTTTTATGACAATTTCTGTTTAAACTGACCAGTGTTCCTTTCCATTCACACACAAATCCATTATCTCTAGCTACATGCAAGAGAAATGATAAAATACCCCTAGGTGGTATAGGGACCCAGTTTCTTTACAGCGCATTCTTCTAACACCTCAGATATCTTCTGGAGATGTTGGGAGGTAAGATGTATGTACTTACATATTTGGAGGGAGTGTTCAGTCCTCCTCCAGCGCTGCGGGGCCCGGTCGCCTCCTCCTCGCCTGTCACCGTCGGCCAAAACCCATGTAAGGGTCCCGGGCCCCCTACATGAGTACCGGCCGTACCCCTCCTGATGGTAGCCCTGCTTGTATCTGCCTCCTTGTTCTGTTCTGCAGACAGCCTGTAGTGGGTGGACCTGCTGGGTCCCTTCCACAGCTCTCTGCACAAGCTATATGCATCACCATGATGAGGTCACCATGATGAGGTCAGTTTTAACATTTTTAAACATACCTTCTCTGTCCTATAAAGAACTTACTGAATACTTACTGAGTTTCACATACATTATTTGCCTAGGTATATACACTTTCTTAATTTTTACTTACTTATTTGAACTCAAAATTCACAAAATAGTTTATCTAATTATTTCTTAACAGGACTGCACATAACACAAAATATATATTCATACCATTAACAGTCTCTAGTCCTTTCTTGTTTATGTGGTCAAATAGCTATATATTAAGTTTCTGCACAGTAATATTTTTCTTTTTAACACATTTGCATGTTACATGCATTAAAGGAAGTGCAAAAAAAGTATGCAAATAAAAAAAAGCCTACAATAAAATGTCTCTGAACTGATTACAATAAAATAAAATCTGAATAATTTTCCTTTTTGCCATGCTGTAAATTCCGTCCATTTTCTACTACTAAAAACGCCTATTTGTGTCTAATGTAATTTAAGGCTAGGTTCCAGTGTTATCTTACCTTCACTCCACGGATTCTGAACTCTGCCAAAGCTCTACTCATCTTAGTTGCTGCCACTTGCTGATCTTTCGCATGGGCAATGACTTTAACAAGGAGAGAATCATAATGGGGAGAGATGACAGCTCCTTGGAAGGCTGAGGCACTATCCAATCTGATTCCCATTCCCTCACCACTTCGAAATACCTGAAAGAGAAAACATTTTTTAATCACCTTCAGAACATCAGATTTATAGCTAAATACAATGCAGCAACCATTATTGGAAAACAAGGTACATACACTAGTATGGAGAGCTTTACCATTAGGCACAGTGGGGCAGCAAAAGAGGCAGTTTTTTTTTCTGTATCTACCATACATTTTTCCCATCATTAATAGAACTACAGTCAACTGTTATATTTTATTTATATCAAGAAGTTATGTACTTACAGGCTACAGTGATAGAAATACAGTCCCTGCCACTTGTGACCCACTACTCTTGCTGAATATAGCTTCATAACCAAACAAAATGTCAGCACCTCCTTAGAATCTAATATTCTGAAGACATTTCTGTCACTGCCCTGCCTCCTTTTCAAAAAATCCCCCAGGAATTTCTACCTCCTCAGGAAATATTAACTACCAACCCCCTCTTAAGCACAGTGCCTCCAATATAGATGACTAACAAAACAGACATGGCTCAATCAGGGGCGCCCCGGAGCGGCCACACCTGTGACAGGCCTCTGGGACGTCATCACACGCGCTTACCTGCCAGCAGTCATCTTGGTGATGGACTTTGGCAAGAGAGGAGGGGACGTTCACCCGGGGGGATAAGGTATGCCGCCAGGTCCCCTCTTCTCTCGTGCAACTGTCAGACTGTCCATGACTGAGTGCCCGACTTTTCAGAGGGGGTGACACCAAAATGATTGTCAGTCATCTTGGTGTCACCCCTCCAATGGTGTCACCCTAGTGGGCCGCACCCCCACTTGTGATGCCACTGGGCTCAATAGATAGATAATTACAAACTCTCCATTGTCTCTCAGTTTACAAAATCCTTGTGCCAGTGTTCCCCAGCAGTTTGTTACCTCCTCTACTAATGCTATAGGAGACTGAATGACAACAGTTTAACAAATGAGAAGTGACAGAACAATTGCAGGCTCTTAAAGATTTTGTAGCAAGAGCAATAACCTTACAGGCTGTACTGAAATGGGTTAGAGAACTGTAGGGAGCTTTTTTTTTTAGTACATCTGCTGGTGATAAATAGTTTTTAAGTCTTTAATTCTTGTTTTCTACATGGGTATTCTGGTCAGTTTTGGCTCCCATAGTGCCATGAGAGACTAATCTGTGGACAGAGCGCATATCCTTTATTTAACATAAAGCCTGAGGGAACACGGGCCTCTTCACACCTATGCATATGCAGTGACTGTATACATTGCACATTTTAAGTACACAATTATTGCTCAGGTATTATGCTAAGTAAAGCAATGAAATTAGAGGTTTTTTTAAAAGCGCAGATGTGCTGAAGAAAAAAATAGTACACATTTTAAAGTATACCTGGCTAAGTACCTTTAAGTACCGGAAAATATATTCCTAACGAAGTAAACTAAGCTCTCACTAACCTTTGTAGCTGTAAGAACTGTAATGAATTAATACCCAAAGTTCACAGCAGAGACACTGAACTTGGCTGCAGTTGGTTTTTCCAAGTATGAATTGCTCCAGTCTCTAAAGAGTACAGTTCAGTGAGGATTTTTTAAAGCTCATTTAATGATTGGTATGAATATGGAAATACATGAATGTCCATATTCTGGCAACAGATTCATTTTAATGTATCTGCTTAATGCATGTAAATGCACAAATATGCTTAATTTTTCATTTTTAATCCACTTGTGTCCCAGCCGCCATTTTAAGGTTAAATCTAATTTTTATTAAAGCTTTTCTTGTGAACAAGGAACATAGACAAATATTGCAACAAGAGGGGTGGGCCAACATATGATATGAAAATTGGTTAAAAAAAAGGGTGACAAAGGGTAAAATATTACAAAAGCCTATCCTTCAAACTGTCAGATGTAGAAATATGTCCAAACCACCCACAAACTGTAAAATTTCTCATAAGAGTCTAAGTCTTATCTAATCTAATCATTTTTTCATACGCATAATGTCATTCATTGCCCGAATCCACAGGGAGAGGGGAGTTATGTACGTTTTCCAAAAGGCAGGGATAAGTTGGCATGCAACTGACAGAAAAAAACTTAGAAAGTATTTTTTCTGTGACGTTCTAGAACTGGGGAGTATAGATAGGAGGGCATTATGTAGGGAGGGAACCAGGACAGCTCTGTAGAGATCATTATACAAAGTGAAAATTTGGTGCCAAAAACGACTTATCCGGGGGAAATCCCACCACATATGTAAATAGGTGCCATTTTCCCCACCACATATCCAACAGGTAACAGGAGTATCCGGAGAGATGCAGTGCAAAGAGTCTCTATAGGTTGGACTCAATGGACTTGTGTCTTTTTTCAACCTGACTAACTATGTAGGTAACTATGTAACTATGTAACCAGCGAGACAGTGTCCCAGTCCTCTTCCGTAATAGTCTTACCCAAATCCTTGTACTACAAATCAAAGTAGTTAGGTGGCTTAATGTCATGGTTTGCCTGCAGTAGCTTATAGAGAGAAGACCATGCATGGTGTGGGTATCCTCAGAGGAGCAGAGGTTCTCAAAAGCTGTAAGCGGCCTCCCAAGCACTCCAGCAGTCGACAGAGAATTACAAAAGGATGAAAGTTGGGCGACACTCAGCCAATTAGTCTCAGCAGGGAAAAAAAGAAGGCAGTGAGAGAAACTGCCCCGTTGAAGGATCGATGAAGTTTCTAGCTTGCAGCCAAGCAGAGCGGGAATAACCTCCCAAGTGAGGGCTGCGCTTACCTAGAGGGAGGGTGGTATTATCAAATAAGGGAGTGAGGGGGCTGGGAATAGAAGACAAATTAAACAGCGTTCTGCTGGCATGACAGATCTTTAAAGTAGCCCGCGTGAGAGGTGAGAGCCGACGTCCAAAGGTGGCAGGAAGGGAAACTATGCATGGAAGCGACCACAGATCTAGGGTAGAGAGATCCTGTTCTACAGTGGTAGAACCCTTCCTGGGGATAGGGCAAACCAATCTAGAATACGGGATAGGAGAGCAGCCTGGTGGCACAATTTAAAGTTGGATAACCCTGCACCCCGCTTAGCACAGGCTCTACAAAGAACCCAGTAATGGATGCGGGAAAATCCATGAGGGATGACTGTGATGTTAACTTCCAGAATTTCTGCGAGCAAAGAATAAGATTCATCCCAGCCGCCATTTTAAAATGGCACTGGAATAGCTGCTATTTGTTCCAGCAACGCTTTAAAACAGCAGCTGGTTTCAGAGGCTCTTGGGGCCCCTCACCAGCATGTAGGTGGAAACAATCAGCTCCTGGGCTTCTGCAGCTTCTAATGCAAACAAAATGCTTACTCTAACCACAGAGGCCAGGGCAGAGCTGTTAAGGTGCCCATGCACCTGCCGATTATCGTACGATAATTACGGGTCATCCCGCGATCGTACGATAATCGGCAGGTGTATGGAAGGTGTGCAACCGTTTCTACTGTACGGTCGCACGTCTTTTGTCTTCCGAGCAGGTTAGTGGCGTGCTCGGAAGACAAATGCCGAACGGGACAAAGTGCGCAAGCGCACACTGCCCGCTCAGCATTGGAATAATCGTAAGCCCTCCCCTTAGCGGGGAGGGCTTGCCATGATCGCAAGTACGATCTGCCTGTCCAAGATGGGCAGGTCGAACGAGGTTTTAATTACCTTACAACCAACGCAACGAAAGTCGTGCAATGGTTGTAGGGTGTATGGCCAGCTTAACAGATCTTTCCAGTGCCTCCCCAGCAATAGATCACTGTTACTGGCTGATTGCAGCCAGCAGTAAATCACTATTAGAAATCACCTGTTGCTGCACAGCTGCATTGGTAGTCCACTGACCAGATCTAGACTCCACATGAAAAATACATCTATATATTCCTTAAAAATAAACAAAAATATTCCCTCCCCAGATTAATCCCCAGGTTGCAACAATTAGGTCAGATACTCTGTATGACATTTGTGTTTTACTGTGCAAACCTGTGAAAAAGTAGCTGTCATGTTAATTTCTGCCCGCGTCAACCCAATTTAATCTTACCTTAATGTTATACTAACAATTCACACAAACCAGTGGGTTGAAAGAGGAATAAATCTCTCCCAAAGTAAAAGGTATACATTCACTTTTAGCATTACAATTTTAAAGTCACACTTATGTGACTTAAAGTCACACTTATAAAATTATCATTTTAATCAGCAGCCTTTGTTGATTATATTTTGAGGTAATAAATAGGGGTGCTCGAATTATGTAAACATTGCATTAAGATAAATTACAGGAATATGCATTTATTCCAATTTTTAGTATTTATTTCCAATAAAAACCAAAGAAATAAAAACATATTTATCCAATATTGCCATCAAATTAAAGCCTGTCCTGAAAAAAAAAACATCATACATTGGGGTAAACTACATAACAAAAGATAACATGCAGACTTGAGACATTACTGAAACATTGAGAAAAAAACCCTCTGGGACTAAGAGGATTTAGGGAGAAAAAGGCCTGGGGGACTGCATGCTAAGCTGTGCTAAGATGAAACTAGTCACATAAATGGGCTTTTACTACAAGAATAGTATTAACAAACATGTTGCATTTTATTGCAGTGCAATGGATCCCACCGCAGATCAGATACAATGCACACTACCGAAGCGTTCACAATGCTCTAGCCTATCCCATGTGAATGGGCCCTATGTCTGAATAAGTCTGAATAGACCCTTAAGGTGGCCATACACTAGTAGATTTTCGGTCAGAAAAATGACCACGATCGGAAATCTATCAGTTGTGGATGGAGGAATCTCCCACTTGGCCAAGCTTCAGTATCTTGCCTGCATCCAAATCAGATTGTTAAGGTAGTTTGACAGTCAGCGGGGCCGACTAGCAAGATACTGAAGCTTGGCCCAGCAGGGGATTCCTCCATACACGCAGTTTAGCGTAGATCAGGGGTGGACTGACCGTTCGGGCAGTCGGGCACAGGGCCGGACTGACCGTCTGGGCTGTCGGGCACCGCCCGAGGGCCCGCAGCCATAAGCTTGTCATGCTGTCACGATCATGGTTTGCGA